CTGTGGTTGATGAATGTGTTTTAGTATGCTATTACAAGGTATGGTTTAGCACTATTATCCCTGCTCCCTGAAAATTCAACTATATAAAATATATTGTATTTTTTGATTCTGTATATTCCCACAGCAGAAAGTGTGCTGAGAGAAATAGGAATACTAATTTCTGTTGTAATTTGTTGTTGGTTTCTTTATTTCCAAAAGGAATGTATTTCTAATTTTTTACTGAAGTAGGTGATTGCAAAAACTACAGTATAAATTCCCAATAGATCCTAGGCTAAACATTTCCTAAAGAAGTTAGAAATACTTGTACATATATTTTAAATTAAATCAAAACTTGTGCAGCAACCAAATAATCACCAATTTCATGGGAAACAAGGATTAATAATATTTTTACTATTCTAACTTATGCATACTACATTTCTAACTAGTTTTACTCTGCATTCATGAAATTATTTCTATACCTAACACAACTTTTAAGGACTTATATTACTTTGATATTTTATTTTTTAGATGTATTTTTGAAGTACTTTTAGAATGTAAACTATTATGTACTAACTTTGCATATTGACTTGGAGAACAGAGATAACTCCATCCTACATGGTGATGTTAAAATGAACACCATCCAGTGGATTAACAAAGCAATGTTAGATGAGATCTTGTAAGTAAGTCAGTAAGTCTTGATTTGCAGTCTTGCACCACGGTCGTTATACTCCCCCATGCATGAAACTTTAAGCAAAATTCTTTAGCCCTGTGGCAACCTGGCTTAATTTTTTCCCTCAATGTGTTTTTCTTGAAAATTTTACTATGATATGTCTTGATTAGCCATTTCAAAATACTGTACTCAAACCTTAGTGGTTCTGTTTTACCTGGGACAAAGATATAGATTTTATTTGCTAATAATCAACCACTTTTGTGTTTAAGTTATTAAAATAAGTTTAGTGTATATAATTTTCTTTACCTTGTGCAACAGTTCTCTGGTTTTCTTTGCAATGGACTTAGAAATTACATAAATATATTTGATATCCATCTCTATTTTTGTTTACTATGTAATTTTGTGTATGGTAACTATAAATTCTCTTTTGAAGTTTAGTAAGATTTGATTGTATATGTTAAATGTTGTTTGAAAACAAATTCTATAAATTTGTCTGTTTACAGTTTTTAATCTTTAAATTGTAAGTTTTCTTTATAAGAAAATGTACCCATTTTATTTACATTTCAAATGTACATTCTTAATTTTTTGTCAAAATGTCCCATGATTTTTATTTCCTAGATATATATAGAGAGAGACTTATTTAATGCTTTTAATTTACATTTGATATTTATTTAAGATGGTTTCTGGATTTGTTGTTTGCTCTTTATACTTGATATTTGCCCAAGATCGCTTGTTAAATAATTTCTATGTATATATATTTAATTTGCAAAGTCTATATATTTGTTTTATTATATACTTGAAATTATTTGTATTTTTTCCCTTAGTCAAGAAAAACATACATAAATTTTACTTTTTTCATTGATTTTAATATTAACCTTTAAATTTTTTTATTCTCTTTGTGTATGAAACCAATTTATATGTATCAATTTAAATATTATTCATGAGTATTTATTAAATGGCTTCATTATGATATACTTGTAGACATGCTTAAATGCTCCATGATTAAATTAAATTGTTTGAAATTTAAAGATACAATTGTAAATTACTTATTTTGGCATATTTGAGTATATGTTCTGTCTGTACATATGCTTGTATGGCACGTGTTTATGGTCAACTATGTGGATTCTGGGAGCCAAATCAGGGTCATCTGCAAGAAATATAAGTGCTCTTAATCAATGACACATTACACCAGTCCCTACAATTGTCTTTTGACAATATCTAATTTTTAATCAGGGTCCAATTCATGTGAGACCTAATTTCTGGAAATTTTTAACTATCCTCTCTTGACTTGAGAGTGTCAAGACTTATGAATTATTCACATCTATTTTAAATAAACTTGTTTTAACTGTTGAGTAGAAGTCTAGTGTTTAATTTAATTTCAGAACAGTAAATTTTGTTTTTGATTGTCTGCATACATTTTCTTTCCTTCTTTTCAAGAGTAAACGTAGCTATTGCTATTATTTCTTTACTTTCAAGTCACATATCATTTCAAAGGTTTAGACACACCACATATATTATAAGAAACCTCACCTACAGTAGAGCAGTTAACTTTCAAAAAGCCTTTGGAAGATATTTGAAAATTTTAGTTTTGATTTTTTTTTCACTGAAGTTTTTGGCATGTATAGCTAAGACATGACCAGAGCAGAGCTCAGACCACCATTGTCAAGACCACCTGCCTGTTTCTCTTTAAGTAGCAAAGAGTCCATACACAATTGATAAGTCTATATATTGGACCACAGAATCATATACCATAGCCCATGTTTTCCTCAAATTTGTGATCTGCTTCCCTCAGACACCAACGTTCTGAGAGTATAAATGTACAGCATCATGACCCACTTGGTAATGATTTTATATAAAGGTGCTGTTATGCAGCCATTAAAGTTCACAACAATATGCCTTGAAGCCAAGAATTTCAAGTTTTCTACACCAAACCCTTTGCTATTACATAGCATATCTAAGTGTATAGTTTTAAACATCACAAGCTTTGAAGATATGATTTATAATTGGAAGAACTTGGGACTTAAACATTTATTATCTGAGTACAAAACATGGTTCCAAATGCTTTAGGCAATGCTGACCAGATAATTGCTTGCTTGATAAAAAAAAAAATGTGGAGCAGCCAACTTTTAATGGAATACCATCTAAAACATCCCAACCCTAGTTGTTCCTACCAATTTCCTACCTTCTATCTGTGTCACAGTTTTAAACTCTGAGTTTAAATTTAAAGGTACTTTTGAATGTGACATAGGGTTTCCAATACATAAGGTGTGTGGCTCTCAAAAACAGTTGACATTATAGGATAGGAACTAAAGACATTTTGTGGTAGACGTCAATGATAAACTATATTATGGGATCTGGGAATAATTATCTTCATAGTAAATTATATATTCTAATATGCAAGTTTATGACAGCAAACAATAATGGATTCTAACATTATTTCAACATCATATGCACGATTTATCTCTATTTTAAACACCATTCCATAGGTGTTTGTTTATCTCAAAAATACTATGGAACAACATAGCATTGAAACATGTATGAAAATGAGACTTACTAACCTATAAAATGAAAAACATCAGTTATCAAAGAATTGGTATATTTTATTGTTAGAGTTTTATTGCTGTTAATACATGATATGGCCATGGCAACTCTTATAAAGGAAAACAGTTTTGGGGGGCATGGCTTAAAGGTTCAGAGCTTTAGTTTATTACTTCAGTTCATTCATGCAGGAAGCATGGTGGCATGAAGGCAGACATGGTACTGGAGAAGTAGCTAATGGTGCTACATCTGGAAAGGCAGTCACTAGGAAAAGAGAGTGATACTAGGCCTGTCTTAAGCTTATGAAACATCAAACATCCTCCAACAAGTACACATCTATTCCACCAAGGTCATGCCTCCAATAATGCTACTCTCTGTGAGTCTGTGGGGGCCATTTCCATTTAAACCACAGTTGTCAAACATGTCAAAATATGCTGAGATTTACCCATTACATATTACATATTGGGAAAACAGAATATTTTGAAGGCATGTAAAGCAGCAGCACTTATCTATAATTTGAAGAGTAACAACCTACATAATACATTTTTGATACTGAATATTGAAGCCAGGGGCCCACTTGCTGGCTAAGCCATCCTCTGTATCCTTAGCCCAGGAGAGTTTCAACAGCTCCTCACACCATAGAGCCCACATTATTTCATAATAATGAGAAAACTCAAATAATATGCATAAATACCAGTGATCCTGGCACAGAGCACACATATGATTCTCCATGGAAGAGCATCATGTGTAAAGTCAGCAGACAGGAGATTCTCAGAGTGACACACAAGTGTCTGTGCTAACACCTTGCCAACATTCCATTACAAAGTAATAGGTTTCTCCAGTCCGCCTATTGCACATTTGAAAACCAATACTATTGGCATCCTTAAAAAGAAAGTAAGGAATTTCCCCTTAAGGAAAGCATAACTGATAATATCTGGCATTCAGTATGTGTTAGATTGCTGTGAATCCTAGAATGCTGCAAATCATCAAACTTTTCAGTAGCTTAGAGGGAGGGGAAGCTCTTAGTGTAGAATTTTCCTATCAGTACACAAAGGTGTACTTACAGGGTTTCATCCACTTGGTCCTGTGGCTTTATTCATGGAGCTGTCTGAAAATTTGCTTTGCAAATTTAACTACAAATATTCTAGAAAATCGCTAATAAAAATAAAACACAGAGGATAAATTAAATGGGTTGTACCAAATCTTAGAAGAGGGAAACTTGCTAGGAGCTAAGAAACTGCTATTCATTGTCTGGAGTCAGGCTTTAAAAATAGAGCTCCTACCACGAGGGAGTGGTTGAGATTGCATCTCCTTCCAGAGCCACTCATACAAAAGCTGTGCAAAATGTGACTAAACAGGATGGGAGAAGCATCCTGTAGATACAGCATGCTGTGTATACATTCCAGGAAAAGACATTTGTTCACAAACCTGCCAGAAGCAGAGTGGGACTTGACTAGATGATTCCCTTGGAATCCTCATTCTGTAAGCTCTGAAGGGATAGCACAGGCTTTGAAGCTAAACACAGACCACTGGGAAGTGGGATAGCAGTGCTGCTGGAGAAGTGATAAAGCTTCTGTGTCTTCTCATGACTGGTAACTCCACGTGCATCATCAGAAATGCTCTGCCCACATTCACATTTAAGATGTTGCAGGGCTTGACCTTAGGGATTTGAGGAAATACTGTATAGGGATTAAACAGGCACAAATCATTTCACCCCTACTTAGGGGCTGGCTACAGGTGTGCCTGACCATGCCTTCACAAGCTTGCGAGGGCGTGGTCAGGGGAACGTAGGGTGACTGCGTTTTCGCTTTCGGTTTCTCTTTTGGGCTTGTGTACAGACTGCTGCCACGCCGGCTGGCTAGGTCGCTCTGTAAGTAAGGCTTTTCCCTATTAAATACCCTTGTATTTCTACCTGACTCCATATTGGTAATTTCCCACTATAACATATTTCATGGATTTTCTCACAACCACTGTGGAATCCACCAGTGATTTCAGTTTCATCTTCCCCTTTCTGAATGCCAGCTATCTTTTAGAAAATCATCTTTCATGATCCTGTCAGATGCACACAACAGGCAGTCTGGGTGCTGGGTCTTTCAGTCAGTGGTGCCTCTGTCTTCGGGTGAGAGGTGAAGAGCAGAATGAATAGATTCATAGTAACAGAGAATGGGAACCCAGGAGAATCCAAGATTCTCACCAAAACCAGAGATTCCCAACAGCCATTATGAGACTAGGATATTTGTCTGTACAAGAGGTACAGATGTCCACCTAATCTTGGATCTTTGCCTTCGGCTATTTGCATCTTTGGCAGCCCACTCACAACAGCCGCTGCATTATTACACAGTGCCTGCATGTGGGCATCTTTACAGTCAAAGCTGCTTAGAGAAATCATTTTCTTTGAAAATTTTGTTAAGATGACATTTACAATCTCATTATAGGGGAGGAGCATCAAAGGCAGCAACAGAAACAAGCACCCACAGCTAAGAACTGAACCATACTCCTGGAATCCATTTGCTGAGAGGGAGGAGTGATGAGCAAAGAAGGTGCTGGAGAAACCCACAGAAATAGTTGACCTGACCTAGTGAAAGCATGGAGACCCTAGTAGTAAAGCTGGGAACCAGCATTAGACTTAACCAAGCCCTTTGAATGTTGATGCGAGCTAGGTGGCCAAGAGAGTCAATGGGACCTTTAACAGAGGATCCAGTGTTTACCCCTAGAGCACAAATGGACTTTGGGAGCCCACTCCCTTTGGAGAGATACTATTGCAGCCCAGATACAGCAAGGAGGGCCTAGGCACTCCACTAAATGATATCACAGACTTTGACAGTCCACCATGGAGGACCTCACCTTCCCTGGGGAGGAGGTGTGGGGTGGGGTGGGGAGTTGGGGGGAACATTGGAGGATGGGAGGGCGAGGGAATTAGGGGGATGGATATGTAAATATGAGTTTCTTTAAAAGAAAAAAAAAAGATCATATTTACTATGTTGCTTTATTTAATATGTTGCTTTATTTACAATTTCCCATCATAAAACTTGAGTCCATGTTGTTAGGTACAGAAATGATCATTGGTTTTATATCATTTGCAGAGTTTTTATTGTATTGTCTTTCTTTCTTAAGTATTTATAATGCAATTATATGGTTGACAGATGTGTTTGGTTCCCATTTGGCTGCTATACAGTATTTCTTTTGTGTTCTTTTTCAGTCTTTTGATTTTCATTCTGGTTTAGAAAATGATATAATGTATTAAAATGTAAGAGATATTTTATGATCAATATGTAAATCTTGGTAATTTAATTTAGATGATATTTATTCATTTAAAGTTATGTATTTTTCTAACTTGTATACATTTTATTTTTCTCCATTTTCTCTCCCCTTTTCTTGGGTCTAATCAATTTTTGTTTATCCCTCTATCTTCTGTGTTAGTGTTTCTGTCAGCTTTAGTCAATTTTGTTTGGCTATATAAAACACATAGCAATTGGTTATGCTTATAAAGAAGTAAATTCATCTCAAATTACGGTTTCCAGAAAGCAAGACATCAGATTAAGATGAGGATGACAATATCAGAGCCCCCACAGAGAAGGAAAAAAGGAATAAGACACATGGACACAAAGTAGCCTGATTTTACAATAACCTACTCTTATGAAGCTAGTTTGATCTTATAAGAACTGTGTCAAACCTATGTGAAATTGATGCCCTATGATGCTACCACCATCCTCAGAAATCAGATCTTAAAGACTTCTCCACACTGTGAACTATATCAGTAACTTGGCAAGTTTTGAATCAAATCTACAAACCATGTCCAAGCCAAGCATAATCTACCTGAAACTAAGCCCCACTTACAGTACCAAAACATATACACACACACCCACACCCACACCCACACACCCACACACACACACACACACAAGTATTCCAATTTTGCAAATGGATAAGTTAACATTTCTGTTATCATACATGAAACAGGACTTTTGAAAATTTCCCATTCTTTAATTGTTCAACATAGCCAGGTTCTTTGGACTGCCAGCTCCTACAAAAAGACATGGAGACTTTTTATTAATTATGAAAGTTTAGCTTTAGGTTAGGTTTACTATCAACAAGCTCTTAAACCTCAAATTAAATTATTTATATTAATCTACGCTCTGCCACATGGCTTGTTATCTCTCCTCAATACCCCAACTTTCTCTGCATGTGGCTGGCAAATCCCTCTCACCTGAAGTTGTTTCCCAGAGTTCCTATCTCTTCCCAGAAGTTCTGCTTATCCTCTCCTGCCTAGTCATTGGCCATTCATCTCTTAATTAAACATATAAAAGGTGCCTTAGGTAGTATACAAAAAGTTTATCCCAACAGTCCAACTCCTCTTATATTACATTTTATAGGACTTTTTAATCTAATAAAAGCAAATGATAGAGATATGGTTGAATAAGTCTCTAACTGCTTTATCCTTCAAAGGGGAATTATTTAGCCAGGACTGTGGCAGCTAGCTGGGATCCCTAGAAATGTATGTATGAGAAGTTATTATTTTGTCTTAGGTCACAGTGTAAAAAGATATAACCTCTTCTAAATCATAATCCCCTTTGTTTTTACATTCAGCATGTAATGTAATATCCTTGGTAGAATGTTCTCAAGGTGTTCAATATACTCACTAACTATTCTATGTTCTTCAAATGTAATTCCTTTGATCTCCTTTATAAATTTCTTATATAATAATAAAATGAAAACAATGAATCTTTAATTTATGGTGGACATTGTTTTCAATATAATGTCTATGGGGCTTTTTATAGTAGATTGATTTGAGTATAGCTTAAGAGCCTGGATAATTATGTCCACTTTGCTACCATAGCACTGATGATTCTTCTGTATGAAAGAGCTGTTGCAGAGGGCTGAATCTTCTCATGTCCAAAATAAGTGATAAAAATGGTTTCCTTTTAAACTGGTTTAAGAAAATAAATATCACTCCCATTTGCTATAACACACTGTGGACAGAATAAATAAATCATATTGGTTAGTTTAAGTATAAAACACCCCACTACAGCTGGATAACATCATTATTTAGATTTTGCAAGTGAAAATTTAGACAAGGTGTATATATAGATGGAAAGTAGTCTTTTAAGGATTTGAAATTAGGTAACTTTAGGATGAATTTGAGTGGCACTTGAAAAGCAGGCTTTTCAGCACTGTACTCTCCAGTTAATTTCCTTATTCATATCCATCCTTTATGCAATGAGGAAACATTCCACCAATGGTCCCTCATTTATATTAGATGGGAGAATTAAGATTATCAGAAAGGAACTAAAGTTGAATTTGCAATAGTGTATGTTGTCACAACCTGCAAGGCATAGGCAATACTGTTTGGTTCTTTATAAACAGTACTCACCTGAATCTTGAACTACTACCATGTAGCTGAGGCAAGGTAATTTTCACCTAGCTTTTTGTGATTATTTCCAAATGAGGAAGTGTGGTGATCTAGTCCTATGTCCCCAAGCTCTGCTGTATTTCAAGATCCACTATTCTTTCAAATAATTGGTTATTATGATGTTCAGTTTCTCAATAGATCAGTTTTCAGCATTCATTACTTTCTGAGATCATCTGATACAAAACCACAGACACATCACAACTAAGTATTTAACCTCATTATTATTATTATTATTATTATTATTATTATTATTATTAGCAGCAGCAGTAAAAGAGCTTGATATTTGCACAGAAACTATATGTTCAGTGGCTGTAGCTTGCCATTGTTAACACCACATATGGCTCATTCAGGCTCCTATACTGTGCTATAAGTTGTGGCCTCAAGTCTGGCATGAATGAATGCAGGGAATTTCTTGTCATTTGGAAAGGATGACAATGTTGGTAAAAAAACAGATCTAATTTATGTAGCAACAGCACCCAAGAAGAAGAATGCAAAAAAATCTAGACTATGTACAATAATGTTAGATAGAATTCCCAGATCACTATTTGTCACATTTAAAAATCAGTTAGAGCAACACTCATCAGTGGTGATGGGATAATTGGGTAAAAGGTTGAGTTGACAGATATCCTTTTAGTAAGTAGATCAGGCTGAAAACTAAGTCATAACAGTATTGAAAGAAAGAAACCCTGGTGTGTCACCTAACCTGATAAGTAAATATATCACATGTATATATACACCCAAAAACTGGAACTGAATTCCACAAGGCAGCCCCAGTTATTATCATGTCATTTGAAATGTATGACAAATAGTGCAATAATTTAAATTTTAATGATAAAAAGACATGTTTCCTTAAGTACCTGGAAAGTAAATTGGTACATTAAACTATTGGTAGATCCTTGGCTTACCCATTTTCATAATTCTTTATTTCAGATCATATTATTAAATGCAATCATGTCTGCCTGTAGAAAAGATTTTTTTTCATTTCATTCTGGATGTATACATTTTACAGTAGCATAACCATAGATGTTTTATGTGTTTAATGGTAGCCTGTTATATTCATTGTTTGTATGTTAATGAATAGCCATTGAAAATACAATATGAATCCGTAAACTCTTATTTAAGTGAAAATATGTGAAACGTTTTAAAATATAAAAATATTGAAGATTTTCCTATAATTAATTAGGTAATTAATTAATTTTCCAGCTTGATCATGGTTTCCCCTGCCTTGCTCCTCTCTTGCTAGACCTTCCCCAACTGCTGTTTCCTTCTTCCCCATATCCACACTTCCTACTTTTTCTTCAGAAAAGAGCAGGCTTCCCATGTTTATCACCAACCATGGCATATCAAGTTGTATTAATTCTAGGCATCTCTCCTCTTATTAATGCTGTGGCATGTTACCCAGTAAAAGGAAATGGTCTCAAAAGCAGGAAACAGAGTCAGAGACAGTCTTGTATCCCACTGTCAAGAGTCCTGCAAGAAGAACTAGCTACACAACTGTAACATGAGTACAGAGGGTCTAGGCCAGTCCCATATAAGCTCTCTGGTTGGCAGTTCAGTCTCTGTGAGCCCCTAGGAACCCTGATTAGTTGATTCTGTGGGTTTTCTTACTGTGTCCTTGACAAATCTGGCTCCTTCCTTTTTCTCCTCCACAGGAATCACAGTTTCACACATGTATTTATTAAGTAAGGGGAAAAAGCTAAATCCACAGGATACTTAAAATATACTCAACACAGAAGAGATTCAGCTACAAGTGAGAGAAAGCCACATTTCTAAAGATGGCTTTTGCTGTTCATAGAATTGTAGGTTGCTAATGCATATCATATAAAGGAATTTTGCTATTCTATTCTATAGGAAAGGTTGACAAAAGAAGACCAGAAGATACAGATGCCTGCAGCCAAACCAGATGCCAAGAGACTAACTGATAGGTTTCCACATGGTAGAAAATTAATTAGTTCCCAAAACTTCCATAAAATGTCCTCTGAACCCCACATATATGCTGTGGCTTGCATGTGGCCATATACCTATTTAGTTAAGTAAGTTAAATGATTTAAAACATCAAATCCATAAGACAGACAACACAAATAGATATAAACTAAGCAACCAGAATCTATACATCTTCAGAAGAGGAAATATCTATGGCCAGTAGCTACAGGAAAGGATGTTTAATTAGAGGAAATCTTGGTTTTCATCCAAGGTTATTTACTAGATTACCAACATGTAAACCCCTAAAATTACTAATATTTTTCTAGGGCATGAAGTTTACATACCAACTCTGTATATACAAATTGTTGTAAGACTTTGACAGTATAGCAAAATTTTATGAAATTGGAATAATGTTCTCTGATCTATTAAAAATCCATTTGTCATGAAAATTGAAGACTATACCATAATGTTAAGCTTGTCATTATCTTAATAGAACTCCAGTATCTACCAATAAAGTAATAGAAATTAATGGAAATGCTTTTCTGTAATGAAATATGTAGGCAACTAGAAATATAGAATAATTGTGCTTTGTCTATCAAAATTGGTTTCATAAATACAATGCCACTGACTGAACAGTGATTGGAAGAGACAGATACCAAAGAATACTTGCAGGCTCTGATGGCAGCATCTACAAATCTACACTTTATTACAGGAAATGTAATTGTGGTAATAATTTGTTAAGAATAATACAGCAGCAGCTCATTGTTGTCTATCAGCTGTCTGGAATGCTGGCACCAAGTTGTCTCTTCTTCCCTCAGCACATATCCAATACAAAAACCATATGACATTTGGAAAATATATACTAGAAACCACACAGTGCCCCATTGCTTCAGTCAGAGTTTCACATGCATTACTGTCTACACAAGGTCAACCTTCCAATGCATCACATTAATATTATAGTCTCCTATGTTACCAACATAAATCTTACCATCATCAGTAAATAATTCTTGCAAGCTGTATATCAACAGCTTGTTTTGAAGATTGCTAGGGAATTCCATTGATCAGAGTGTTTCCAGACTTTGTTAGGGTAATGGCCATGCTAGTACTTGAACAACATTCTACATATTATTTCTGGATTAACCTTCACAACCATATAAAAGGAAAATAAGAAACACATATACAGCATGGTATTATTCAGAAAATGATTAAATGCTACAAAGGGATGTGTGTGAGTATAAATACATAATTTTTGTAAACAAACTGTTAAAGTATAAACTACACATATATTGTGAAAGTATAAACACACGAGATATAATCTTCACACAATTCTGAAAATAATAACTAAGACAAAACCTTGAATAACATGAGTTAGATAAAAATACTTTTAAAAGATATAAGAATAATTTCTATATGAATTTAGAATTTAGGAACATGACTGTGTGTGAAAAAAACTGTATAATGTGAGTTACAAAGAACTAGATGTAATAAAAGTGGCATCATCATCACCATTATGCACCAAATCTACTGAACAAAAATAGTAATGATAGCCTCGTAGGATGTAATAGGGTTGCACCTTGCTACGTTTCCCTCCACAATCATTCTTCCCTAATATACCTAGACACGTGCAGTCTGCTTTGGTCAACTAGTTTGAAATGGAGTGCTGGAAAGATCTGTGAACAAAAATCTTTTTTTTTTATCAGCCTGATAGCTGGTATTAGCCAATCCCTAAAGCTGATTATTCTCATTTCAATAATGTCAACAATCTGTACCTGACAATGAATAGCATTTCTCCAAATCCTTGCTTTCTCATGCATTTAGAAGCCTGTACAGTACCTTTTCGGTTTTTCCTAATCTCCTCTAATCATCTGTACTCCAAGTACATCACCCTGAGTTTATGAACGGGGACCCTATTTTACAGTAAATATTGATGAAATCACAAATCAGGTTCTATACACAGCCACACCCAAAACTTTTGATATAAAATATCTGAAATGCTCTTTACACTTTAACTTTTTGTGTAAGTGGTTGGCCCTATTCTCTCTGATCGATATATTGGCAGAGCTATACTGATATTGTTATCTTATGTCTTATCAAATATTTAGTCATGCCTCATTCTTATTAAATAATTTAGTTATTTCTTCTATTTTCATAAACTCTACAGATATCATTTTTAATACCTGATATGTCCCTGGTCATGCTCCCCTGTTCTGAAAATCTGCCAGTAATTTTTCATAATTAGTAATCCCACTGATATCACTATATCACATTCACTGTGAAATTGTGTCTTTTGGTAAAATTCAATAATAATTATTATTCAGCACAACTCCATATGTCCATGGAGCAAAAGTACACTGCTCTATTTATCTCCTAATTATACCAGATACCATATCTGTTTTGCTTTCCTCCTGTTATACAACTAATTGCTCATCATCATTCTCCATCACTAGTTCTACTGCTCTTTGTATTGTTTATGTTGGCATATTCCATGCCTCTATTTTAAAACATGTGTTTTTAGATGAACACTTTTTCATACATGTCTCTATTCCTCATCCTTCTTTAATAGCCTTTGTAACATACTTTGCAAATATGGCTTTCTTAATTTTGCCTACTTTTTTCTCTCACTACTGTTCTTTTTTTAAATTCTATGAAAATACAATTCACCAGCATCTTTCCCCTCTATTAGTCTACTGGCACCTGAGCAAGTTTAGCAGTACCTGAAATCTCTTGGGTATCTAAATGCCTGTTCTCCTGAGGCTGTTACAAATTCTTCTGTCATTAAGTTTAAGTTAGAGGTTAAAGACAAGCATAGAATTGTGATCATAACAAGAATATTAGACATTGATAACTAACATGAGCAAATAGTTGGCTAGGGTTATACATGCAAATTTGTCTTTTTTCTAGACATCCACACGAAAATTGCTGGGATGATTCCAGGATATAATAACCTCAAGGCCATGTAGTCAGTCATTCTTCCCCTTAAGTAACTAATGGCATAGAAAAGCAATAGACATTACTCACCAATGAAAACAGGAGATTTCTACCCCTGACTTAAGAGGATGTCAAGTCAATAAAGAATTTCATTGTTATTTTTTCCATATGTGATATACGAGTGGAGAACACAGAATTGCATTTTGATCATAAATAATCAGTCATATGGAACCAATCATTTTGATTAATATAAGTCAGTTGAAACAGATTGTTAATCACAATAACAATAAAGTATCAGGACTCCTATTGAAAGTTTTGTGAGATCTGACATTTTAAATCAAAAGAAACTCAATTATTTATCTAAGTCATCTTGCAGTAGAAAAAGGAAGCTTATGGCATTAAAGCTACATAAGGACACATAGCATTAGAATTCTAGACAAAATAAATATGTCACATAGTCTAAAACTAAATTAAAGATAAGGTACATTTTAGGAATATTGAAGTATGTGTAATAATTTAAGGAACATTAATTAGGATGAAAATAATGTCTTCCCCTACATTGTAAAGCTTGAGAGTTTGAATATAATATTTTTTAACACATACAACACTAAGTACTAATTGTATAATGGTAAATGATTTAATGATATATAATTACTTAAAATATCATCAAAGAAAATTATTTCCTATATCAAGAAATTATATTTAAAAAGTATGTTATTTCAGGAGTACCGATAATCATGGCTCAAAAAGTAACCATTAGAGAGATCTAAATAGGTAGCAGACTACCAGTGAGGACCTGGAGGAATGAGCAGGAAGACCAGATGCCTACCAACTGCTACAGCTGTTGCCATGGTCAGAATCCCCACAGAGGGAGGACTCTACCTCCAGGTATTAACCAGATATGGGGCCTAACAAAGACTGTTGTTGAATATCACCTCATCTGTGGAAATGTATAGTGAAAGTGACATATTACACATTTTATGTTAAATATTACGTTTTACTTTATAACTTTAACTATGTGTACTACTGTGTCTTGAGTATAATATCCCTAATGTCAGTTGAAGGATACTTCTTATATATTCTATATTGCAGAGGTCCACAAGACAATCATGGTTTCATCTGTTTCCTTTGTTGCCCACAGAACTAGATGATAAGACACTATTGTGGAAGATACCACTTATCTTGGTAACTTATCTTGGATACATGACTTAAAGAAATAAAGATGAAACTGGGTAGTATATTTTCTCTCTCCCAAGAAAATTCCATACTCCTAGAAGGTTCAATGCTTCCCAGTGGGGAAGAAAAAAAAGGATAAAGGATAAACATATTTACTCAGCTAATAATCATAGGAACTATAAGAACAACCTGCCAGGAATATGTGCCAAAATAGTGCAAAAGTGGCACAATTGCAATGGAGATGCCCAATGATTGTCAAATTGTCTTTGTAATTTGCTCCATAGGAGATAATCCATGTCTGCTATTGTAAATATGGTCAGAAGCCCATTATTTGGTGGTGAGACAATTTCCACAAGCATCAGCACTGAAAAAAAAACAGGCAAATCAGAGAAAAATGAAGATGAGCAAACATAAAATAAAAATTTTAATATTGGCAATGGAACCAAAAAACATATATATATATATATAGATAAGTAATACCTTACAATGCACATTATATGCATTTATTTCTTTGTTCTCAAGTTAGCCACATAAATGATACCAGTTTATGTCATAGTGCTGAATCTTACACATAGATTTGCTATCCATAAAACAATAAGAAAAATGTGCCATGTTTTGGACAAAGAAGAAATTCCTTATGAATCCTTCACTCACCCAATGTCTCCTATCTATTAATAGGATACGATAGAATAATAACGCTGAATAATCAGGATATGATAGAATAATGACACTGAGTAATCCCCTTGTCAAAAGAAATGGAGTCCAGTCAATATTCCTATACATGAAAACCCACTTACTGAGGTGGGTCATACAATTCTTTGGTTGTGCCTTTCCACATCTCTGCCCATGATAGTTCTTATAGCAGTTAGTCTAGCTTACTAAGCATTCATACCTGGGTCATGATAAATCATAACTCATCTTTGACTTCCTGATTGACACAGTAACTCAGAGACATCAAATTCTAATTTATGAATGCATAGTATAATTTTACCTTCATGGTGACCAAGATGTACATAACAGGGGCCAGCATGACAAATTTTAAGTAGTAAAACATGGGCAAGTAAGTGAAAAGTATATGTTAACCTGAATGTTGATTTTTAGATATGAATATATATTATATATACATATATGTATATGTATAAATATATATAAAATCTGCATAATCAAGGATGTGGTGTTCTGTACTGGTGAATGGTGAACAAAATGTGAGTTGAAGCATATATACTGTATACTAGTAAAGAATATAATTATCAAAAAATTTTCAAGTAAATATATTAACTCTTTTGTACAAGTAGGAAACTTCTGAAATGTGTTAGATGGTGTAGCATCTGGAAATACCATGAAAAGCTTTACTTTGAGAAGGTAAATGATAAACAGAAAAACACTGAAAAATGGTAATCAATCACATATATTGAACAACACACATGAAGAAGGCCTTGGGGACTAGGGCTTAGCAAACAACCAAAACAAGGACTATTAATTCTGTAGGAGGCATGAATATTCCAGATGGACGAGGAACTACAATGGGAGGCAACAGATAAGACTCAATCAAGGTTAAATGATAGGAAATGTGCCTAGTGAACAGTGTTTAGTAAAGTCCTGCTTGTCAACTTGGCAGTGAGGTCAGACCTTGTGGGAATGCACAGGCAAAATGAAGAATTTTGAGTTTTACTCAAATAAACTGAAAGCCATTAAAAGGTTTTGTCCTGAGAATCATAATGGTTTGACTTCCATCTGCCACTCCCTCTTTTGAAACAATATGTTGGGAAGAAAAGGCACACTCTTGATTGGTAATTTGGGCCAACTACCACAGGTGGGGTCTGTGTGAAGAAAGTATTTGAATATAAAGAAAAGATTTGAAGATGGTTTGAGTGTAAAGTATGAAAAGAATGAATGGACTCTAAAATATACTCAAGGTTAATTTTGTTCATGTAAAGGCAAAGATAAAGCTTACTTTCTTAAAATTAATAAAAACATGGGGGGGAGTTAAGTTTTAATGTGGAGATGAGAGGTAAAGTTTTATCCTTATACAGTCCAGTAAAGTCTAGTGTATTCTTAATAAGATGGTATGCTGACTAATCTTATGTCAACTTGACACAGGTGAGAATTATTGGAAGGGAAGAAAACTCAACTGAGAAAATATATAATTTTGGGAAGAAAATCCTTGGAGCATTTTCTTCATTAGTGATTGATGGCAAAGAGCCATTCCCATTGGGTGTGGAGCCAGATCTGGATCAGTGGTCCTGGATTCTATAAAAAAAAATTGATGACTTCTCTTTATGCCATCCTAGAGCCCTCACCCAGTGGCTGATGGAAACAGAGACAGACATCCACAGATATACAATGAGCCGAAATCGGGAATTTAGTTGAAGAGAGGGAGGAATGAAGAACCCAAATACCTAATGTTTCCAAATGATTATTTGAATGTGTTATTTCTCTATTTGCTAATATCTGTGCTTGATGTACTTTTTAACATATATAAAAGTAAGATCCTTTAAAAAAACAAAAAACAAAAACAAAAAAAACAAACAACAACAACAACAAAAAAGTAAAAAACATAATCCCAGAAAACAGCACAGTTCTGTTACTCTTGTGGTACTTGGCACCATTTTTTTTTTTAAAATTAGCTTCTCAGTCATCATCTGGGAGGAAACAATTCTGAGTAACATCATTAAAAATAGCTCTGATAAAGCATGATCACTACTATGTATCATAAAGCAGGTCCAATAAGCTTCTTCCCTAACTAGAACTAATAAAATAAAAAAATAAAAATAAATAAAAAAAAAAGGCTGAGCAAGTGACATAAAGTAAGCCAGTAGGCAACATTCCTACATGGCTGCTGCAGGAGCTTCTGACTCCAGGTTCCTGCCTGGTTTGGATTCTTCCCTTCACTTCCAGAAATGGGCTCTGATTGAGAATATGCAATCCAAATAAACCCTTTTATCTCCAAGTTTATTTTGCTCATGGTATTTTTGTAACAGAAGTAGAAACCCAAACTAAGACAGATTGCAAATGACTACTCATTACACAAGCCCAGGATTATGGGTGGAAAGGCCAATCAGAAGTATTTCCCATTCAGCCACAAATAGTTCATATTTAACATTTCTCTGGAGAAAGCACAGCTAATCAATTAAATGCAATATTGACAGGAAATTGTTCAGTGGATTTGCTAAGGTGGATAAAAGTGATGAAGTTTCAGTTGGGCAGTAAAAGTGAAAATTGGTGACTTCAAAAAGACTCACAGTAAGGCAAGCACTACTCTAAGCAAGTCAGTTGTGTGGTGATGAAATCTGTAGGACACACTTGGGAAGATGGTTACCTTGGGAATCAGAGTCTGGGACAAGTGTTAATGGAAAAAAGAGACTGAAACAGTGAGAGAGGAAAAGATTGCTGGAACTATGTCCTGGAGTAAAGGAAAGTGGACATGTCAAGTGGCAAGTTAAAACAACTCATCCTCAATCACAGAAATGAGAGGATGTGAAGCAGCCAGGTAGATACACAGGAAGTGGATGCCGGAAACATTGAGAATTTCTCCCCTATGAATATTTCTATTTTCTCAATTTCTCCTATTTCTACAGAAGACAGTTATGGGTACAATGGGAATGGTGGCAGTGTTGGATTTAGAGGAGAGAAAAGAAACCGTAAAATACTTCTGGAGACTTATTGGATGGGGAAATTGTGAGAATTCTGCTAGCCCCTTTAGGGCTCACCTGGGGTTAGTGATCATGCTGTAAAATGAGTTTTGTCAACAAGGTGGATGCAAGCAGAATTGATAGAAGATCCCACAGTGTAGATGCTCCAAACAGTTTTATGCTCAACATAGATTATATAAGCTGTTGGGATGCTTCAGGGGAGTGAAAATAGTAAGTCATGGATTCCAGTTTTCACACAGAGAAGAGTGAGAATTGAGTAGATATAAACACTGGGAATGTTATGATAAGATCATTGTGTTATCAGTTCTTGTGAGGAAAAGTAGGATCAGTATTGGGACATTAAGGACATGCAATGCTGCCTAAGTTCTGAGCAGAGGTCCCTGAGGAGGCCAATCAAATTTATTTAAGAAAATGCCCCCCCAAATGAGTGCTAGAATATATAGGGTATGAGAAAATACTTCTTGCCTGGTTATATCTTAACATTGAAAATCCACAGGACCAATCAGGAGAATATCTTTATTTGTGTTCTTTTCATATTTTAAGATACATCCACATATGTGCATCCCATATGTAAATGCATATATAAATTTATAGGCACATGATGTAAATATATGCCTATATGTACAGATACCCATGAATACAGATAACATTGAGGACAAATGATTTTAAACCACTAATTACATTTTAAGTATATTCCTGTTATAAAGCCTAAGAATTAAAAAATAATGCTTGTATTTCATTTTAAATTAGAAAATGTTTAGTTCCAGTTGAGACGCATTTTTGTGAATATACAAGAATAAATAAATACAATATAAATAAAATGGTCATTGTCAAGCAAACTTCACACTGTAAGCACTGTCTTTGAAGCAGCCAGAATTAGAAGGCCTGAATACATCACTCAGTGAGGAATAACCATGACTGCCCCTCTAGTGCAGCTTTGCGACTTGATCCTGCCTATTTTGGAATTTGCATTTTACATCAGACGCTGAAATACAGACTGGAGTTTAAAGAGTTCAGATGAGAGATGCTACACGTGCTCAATATAAAATTTACAAATTGCATATAAATTTGAGCAATGTAGGAGTGTGTTTCTGAAGAATAAAATGAAACCTATTGTGGGGAGGACAATAGCGCCACAGCCACAGCTCATTAGGCACAGCAAAAGACCAGAGTCTGACAGCTTTCAGCTACCTATTCCAATAAAAGACTGCTATGGAAGCTTTAAAAAATGGTAAATGCTTTTAATGAAGGCCCTGTGGGCAAGCTGTCAAACTGTTCACATGTCATTTAAGCATGTTCCTCTTTAAAAAGTACAATGAAAATTGCTGTGGACGCGGACACAGTGACCAGTGCCTCACCACAGAACAAGTCTTCTGCTGCCCTTAATGGCCAATAATACCTTAATAACACACAATGTCCTGCTGAATGCTGGCTGTTGCCCCACAGGGGACATAGTCACACTGCTGAAGCAGTGCTGTTTTGTGACAATACCTATTGTTACAGACTAGAATTTTGCCTTGTAGCTTTCTTTTTTAAATTTTTACAGATTTTTATTATATAACCATCTGGTGGGCATGGCAAAGAAAATGCTTTTAATCCTTCAGCTGGAATCAGGATTGGTAAGGAAATTTAACCAGTTCATCAATTCATTAAAGTCCTGCAATAAGTTTGGAGATTGAAGAAAGCATACTGTGAAAAGAAACTGGCTTTAAAAGGTGCAATATATAATGCGCTCTCATAATCAGAATATGAGCTTATTTATGTAAGTGTAATGGCAGAGGATTCAGGATTTCCTAAAAACATTAAGCAAATGCACAAAAATACTCTTTTTTCATCTCTCCTATTATTTTCATAATTTTTCAAGTTATTATATTTATGTGTAAATAAACAGTGGATGTGTGGAATACATAGGTTTATAAAATTATGTGATATTTATGGATAAGGTAAACCTGGAGCCAAATACAATGTTTTCCTGTCTGGATTAATATAATCCAGACATAAAAATAGATATATTGCTTTCTTAAAAATATAAGATGATAGTACATCTAAAGTTTAGTTAGTACAACAAGGGTTAGTAATGTATTGGTTACAATAGCTTAGGAAGTGAACAGCTGTCAAATATCTGATGCTTTTGAATCAGTAGGTTAATTTCTGGCTCTTTTCTGTGACAAAGCATGCAGGTGTGTTTACTGGTGTTGGCATGTCAGATTCTCAGCATTTTAATGTTTTAAAGAGTTGTATGGGTAACATACATCCCAAAGAAGGTAGAGAGTTCTGACACAGATATGTGAAAGCCAAAGTTTTCACTGGGCCAGGTGCAAACTTTGACCCAGCAATTATACTGGCATGAACTCTGGCTCCGGGCCTCTAAAGAGAAGTCCATATGGTTAATAGCCAGCTATCTCTTTTTATCTAGCTTTCCTGAAGGTCCCCTAAATATTCAGACCTTTTAATTGCTATAAACATAGTCATTGTAAGCCACAGAAAATAACAAAGTTTAATATATGCTAAATATGTTTAAATCATCTGCAAATGTTGCATAGCTATGTATTTTATAAAAACATATAGGTTATAAAATATTTATTTTAATTAAGTAGTCTAAATTCTGGCATTCAATTGATATGATTTTTATTTGTTTGTATTCTAATTTCTAAAATATTCAAAATGTTACATAAAATTTATTTTAAGTAAAAATATGTTCTCTCCCAAAAAGATTTATTTAAGCATATACTCTGTAACATGAACCTATGAGCCTGTGTCTAAAATCATTTTCTTTTCTTAGACCAAAATATCTGTACCTATATACTTGATGATAAAGAGAAGTTCATTCAACTTAGTGGGACAATCAAGCAGCTGGTATCAGCATCTGCTTGGCTCTGTGGAAGGGTCTAGTGGCTGTATCCCAACATGGTGGTAAACACATGGTTAGAACAAGTAAGAGATACAAATGATGACAAGGCAGGAATTGGAGGGTCTTACTGTCCATATTTGTCATGTTTATAATAGATCATTACTTTAGGAACGTGCTGGAGGTTGCTAAAATCCATTCATCTCTTCTGACTGACATTATTGAATTTACTGAAGTACCTTCCATGAGGCACAATCTCCTAGCACTTTCTGTGTCAACATCATTGCCCTGGGGTTCAAGGTTAAAGCATAGGAACCTTGGAAGTATATAATCTGTCCCCACTTGAAACTCAAGACTGTAAGAGTGGTGTAAGAGTGGTATGGAAACAAGCCTAGCTGTTATTCAAGAGTAAGATGAAGACAAACATTTTTAAAATGATTCCATATATCTTAGATTTGGGATTTTAAGTATAATAGTTTAATATCTTTTGAATAAATAAGAAAACTAAATAGCTCTGACTCTGAAACAATTTGAAAAGAATCTTCACTGTGATTATTTTTGAAAGTATTATTTCCAGAACAAACATTATTTTTTTTGAGTGTGTGTGGTTTCAAAAAATGATATTTAGATGTCTGGGATAGTATGATGTAGATAATGTAGACCAAACATAAACAACGAAACCTCAACAGTTTTCAGACAAAAAAACATCCAACTACCTGCTCTTATCTTCCTGAAGCCATACTCAGTGACAGGCACATTTCCCATCTTAGCATGCAATATGCCTCAATGAAGAAGATGCCTCCCAGCTCTACTGTTCTGTGTGGAAAGAACATAGAATCAATCAAAGACA